TATTATTATTATTATTATTATTATTATTATTATTATTATTCGTGTTGTTGTTATTGGTGGTGGTGGTGTTATCACGTTATCTTAATGATTGTCTTTAAAGACTAGTTTAAATAAATAATTAGAATATAAAATTAGCATAAATATTACACTTCTTGGGTCATTTTATCTTTTTCAAAATGTAGTTTTCTCTTGGTTTTCATAATATTATTCTTCCAGGCCCTTAAATGTAATTTACCTTTTATAAATTTAGATTAAAAAATATTCTATATAACTATTTATCTATAATTTTTTAAATAGTTTCCTAATTTTTCATTTAGATTAATATACAAAAAAACGGTATTACCCATATTAAAAAGTTGAAGAAACTGGAAGAATGAATGTGAATCATAAAAATAGTGAGATGAAAAAATGAAATAATTTATAAACTATAGTTATGAACATAAAAGGCATGGCGCCCGTGGAAGATAAGTTGCAGGATGCGAGGTTCAAATAGTTTGGTCACGTGAGACGGCGGGATGCTGACGCCCCTATACGGAGATGCGACAAGATTACGGTTATCGGGGGAAGGGGTAGATCTAGAAAGAATTGGAAGGAGGTGATTGGGCAGGATTTAGGACTTATCACCCTGACTCATGATATGGCTTTAGATAGGAACCTTTGGAGGACTAGGATTAGAGTAGCTGGATATGAGCTCGGTGCTACATAGGTTTTTTGTAGTGTGTTGTGTTTGATTGGAATGTTCTACTATTGCTTGCAGAACTTTCATTTCATTGTACTTGGTGCTTTATCTGTGTTATACTGTGTTCCCTACCATATTTTTTGTGCAGGTTGATCGGGGGTCTCTTGGAAACAGCCTCCCTAGTTCCGAGTAGGGGCAAGGTCTGCGTACACACACTCTCCCTAGACCCTACTGTAGTGGGATTCAACTGGGTTGTTGTTGTTGTTGTAGTTATGAACATAAAAGTTGTAATTAAAAAAAGTTCTAATAATAATAATATTTTTAGAGTGATTTGTCAGAAAGTAGAAAGAATTTGAAGAAAATAAATATAGTTAGAAGAAATTAGAAGAAACTGGAAAAAACTGGAAGAAACTGGAAGGAACTGGAAAAAACTAGAAGGAGCTGGAAAAAACTGGAAGAACTGAAAGAAACTTAAAAGAACTGGAAGAAATTGGAAGTTAAGAGTTCAAGCTCTAAAGAACAGACCCTAAGTTTCTGGATTATTAATGTTGAGTTTATATGTTTGATTAGTGTATAGAGTATACTCTAGCCCATAATATTACTAGCATTTTCACCCGTGCGATGCACGGGGTCGACGAAATTTTTGTCTATTCTGAATTTTTTTAATGCAATATATTTTCTGGATCAAGTAAATATATTTCTAACACGATTTTTTATCATTGGACAAAAACACCAAGGTAGAATAAATAATATTTGAGAAATTGAAAATATACTCCAAAATGTCTTTTTTAATTCCAAACTTGTTGGCATGAAGAATAAGAAATTAAGTAGTACTTTTCACCTCATGGAATAAAGGATAAGAAAAATTCATTTACCATTCAACAACCTCGAGCACAGGTGCCAATAGTGCACTATCTTAAAAAAAGAATATAATAGTTTTTTATGTTCTCTAATAAGTTCGAATAAGTGAAGTTCACTATATTCTTGAGAAATAAATTGTGTTAAGAATCAAGATCTTTAACTATTAGAGCACCAACTTCATGTATTGTGGAGATATTATAATTTCTTGTGTCTCTAATTTTCTTTGTCAATAACCTCAATGATACATTAGAAGTAGACTCATTATATATGAAGTCTTACTTCTCAACAGCCTCAATGATACATTAGAAGTAGGCTCATTATCCATGAAGTCTTTAGTTCTTCTAAATATCTGTATTAAAATATTATGCTCATCTACCATATTTTTCAAATCTTTGACCAAACTTTTATCAGTAGTCAAAGAATTATTCTCCGTACTGTGCGAAACAAATAGAACAATTTGTTTTTATTAGCATGTTAATAATGTTTCATGTGTATTATATTGTCAAACACATGTAAATAATACTTTTATTAAAATGGTGTATTCAATAAAGTATTCGAGATACCTAAAAAGAGTTATTTGTTTTCATATCTCGTTCTGTATACCATAAATATACAATTGTGTAAATTTTGGTCTTTCTCCATATTGTGACATTAAACATGGTATGTGATGATGAATGTGTTCGCTGAGAGTACATTATTGCTCAACCATTATTGTGAGATGTATCAATATTTCCATTTATAAATGTTAATGAAAACATACAGTTGTATTTATTTAAGTTTTTCATGGTAATGAGAACTCTTCACACCAAGACCATAAAATAAATTATAGAGCAAATCAGATGGTTTTCCTTAGAAGAGACAATTAAATTTTTTCTTTTATGCAATAAATTGAAAACTTTAGTTGTTTTGAATCTCTATTCATTTGATTCTTTCTTAATAGTTCATGTCATAACAAAGTTTCCCGAAATTCACACATAAATGCAAGATTCCCAAAATAGATTGTATCTGAAAGAAAAATAAAATATGATGTATGCAGTCTTATATATATATAGAATTCTACACAACTTACATGTTGCATATATAATCTAATAAACATATTTTTAATTTTTATTTCTCTAAATACAGGATCATCTAAAATTGATTCCACTAATGTATCTTAAACATATGAACCTTCTACCTTGACATTTAAATTTAAAATATATCGAGTGTGTCCACCATAACTATTTTCTTACATTGTTTATAATGATTCATACAAAAAGACAATAGTTGTATTATCATTTTCAAAGAAATTAGTAGAATGGGATGTAAACATAGATCAATTCTCTTTTGTTTCTTATGCACTTAAAAGCGCGATGAAGCGTGTGTATAATTGTTTCGTGGTTGGAAAATTATAGATGATTTTTTGGGAAATATGTACTAGAACGTGTTTGCAGAGTATATTCTTTCTCGAACGTGTTCGATGATGCGAGTTTATAGCCGATGATGATGACTCCCCTTCTGTATTTGTAATAAGCATCATAAAATAAATATTATAATTTTTTATCTAAAAACTTTAAATATATTTTTTTATTATCCACTAATATTTGTTACATTCATGTAGATGGTTCAATGAATAAATAAGAAAGAATATTACTTACTTATATTATTTTGACATAGATGTCAAAATAATTAGCACAATTTTTTTAAGAATTAAATATAAAAGTAATTACATTTATAACAATTAATATTATACCATAAATATTTCGATTAAGAACACCAATTAATATTTAATTTCTTACACATAAATACTCACTTATCAAGTCTTGATCATTTTACAAAGTTATAAATGGAAATGATAATTTTTGTTACATGTAAATTTTTACAAAGCTATACATGGAAAACAATAATTTTAAAATGGAAAATACTAATTTTAAAATGGAACATACTTTTTATTTGATTTAGAATTTTTTATATATACAGAATAAAATTAATGTTCTATTAAATAAGCATGCCCATAAAAATCCATTTCCTTTTATATATTTGTTTCTTTTTTTAATAATTAGAAAATCTCTCAAAATACTATTAATTCAAAGCAAAAAAATCAAATGTAATTTCGTTTAGTCCTACCAATCTATCCGTTCTTAAAGTAAATTTATTTGTTTTGATTATAGTTTTTGAATAGGTGGTTTTTTCAAATTTCAAACTATACTATTTAATTTAAATATTTTTCAATAATGAATGAAAATATAAAAGTTTTTAAACGCAATTATATGGAGAAATTTATGTGTAACAAATATAAAATTTAATTTCCGTAACATCATACTTCATATTAAAGTGTGATTTTTTAAAATTCTTACATTAATGAGCAAGTCATTCCGGATTCAGGTCCAGTCGAATTTGACCCATTTTAGCGAGCCATTTTGAACTCAATCAACTTGAGTTTGGACAACAAAACTTTTGTTTAGAACCAAGTATTTTTGGATCGAATCTCAAGTAAAAAAATAGGTTAGACTATATTTTGTGAGGTCTAATCTAGGGTGATGTCGCAAAGCAACTTCATGTTTATTTATCTATCAGAATTCTAACTCCAAAAGATTGTAGATATTTTAAAATTTAAATAAATAAGAAACGTTGTCTTTTAAATTACAATAAAGAGAAACATTCAAAAAGTAATTGCTAGTTTTGTTTAAAATATTTTGTAAATATTAAAATATGATATTGTTGTATAAAGAAAATATAATTTTTAAAAAAATTAGAACATTACGTACAAAATTAATAATGTATATGAGAAGTTACAAATTAATTTGTAAATCATATAAAATGTACACTAGAAAGTTAAGTAGAACGTCACATGTGGGCCGGATTCTTGAAATTCCGGCAAGGGGTAATTTTTTGTCACATTTTCTAAAGATGAAGTACCATTTTATTACAAATTGAAGATGAAGTACATTTTTTTACAAAGTGCAAAGATGAGTACCTTCCATGAAAAAACCCCATTAATTAGAATACTAAAAACTTCAGAATACTAAATTGTTCTAGGACAAGGTTCTCATGACATTGCCCGGCATGGGATGACCCAGGGTCACTCCGGTACCCCATTCGTAAAATTGACGATTACTACCCCCGGTAAACCCCCCGCCCCGCCCCAACCCAAACACACCACCCCACTCCTTCCAATTGCATCCCACAAGTTGATTTTGACTTTGGAGTCAAAATTTGACTCCAAAGTCAAAATCAACTTGTGGGGTGCAATTGGAGGAGGTGGGAGGTGTGTTTGGGTCCGGGCGGGTGGGAGGGTTTACCGGGGGGTTAGGGGGGATAGGAACCGTCAATTTTACGAACGGGACACCGGAGTGGCCCCGAGTCATCCCATGACATTGCCGGGCAATGTCATGGGAACTTGTTCTAATAGACTTTTAATCATTGGACATAATAATAAGAGTAAACATAGAAAGATTAGTGTAAAACTTTTGATCTTAAACCAATAAGAGAGTCATAGTATCATAAACTATATCAAGAATTCGACCCCTCCCGTCCACTTGTAAAATGACTAAATGAGTATTTATAGTTTTTGAGGCGTACAACCAGTATTTATACGAAAACACAGAGAATAACATAAACCCAAAGGTTTTAAATATTTATATTATGAGTAAAACTATGATTAATCGATTATCATCATTCATATATTTAACAAATTATTAGAGCCAAACCTGCATTTACTCTTGAAGATCATAACCTGCTCCGCTTCACAGCTCCCATCTCCTTCGCCTTCGTCCTCAACAGGTGCTTCTGTATCTTCCCCGTCGCCGTTTTCGGCAACGGCCCGAAGACCACCGACTTCGGAATCCAATATTTCGGCATTCTTGATCTGCTGAAGCTCATGATATCCGAGGCCAACCGTTTGTGATCGGAGTCTTTGACCTCCGGCTTTAGGGTCACAAAGGCACAAGGCGACTCCCCCCACTGTTCGTCGGGTCTCGCGACGACTGAGACCTCGAGTATGTCGGGGTGTTGGTAGAGAATGTTCTCCACCTCCACGCTGCTGATGTTCTCGCCGCCGGAAATGATGATGTCCTTCGACCTGTCTTTGATCTCTATGTAGCCGTCTGAATGCTTCACGGCCAGATCACCGGAATGGTACCACCCGCCGGCGAAAGCCTCCGAATTGGCTTTAGGGTTCTTCAAGTACCCTTTCATTACCACATTGCCTCGGAACACGATTTCCCCGATCGTTTTCCCATCTCGTGGGACGGGGGTCATGTCGCCATCGGTGTTGACGACGTCGAGGTGCTCTAGGCCGACGTACCGAACGCCCTGGCGGGCGTTCCGGCGGGCTTGGGCTTCTGGAGGGAGTAGGTCCCACTCGGGCTTCCACACGCATATTGTGGAAGGCCCGTAAGTTTCGGAGAGGCCGTAAGTGTGCGTGACGCGGAAACCGCGGCGGGACATTGCAGAAAGGACGGTAGGCGGGGGAGCGGCGCCAGCTGTCATTACACTGACGGGACGGGGTAGGGGGAGGATGGTGTCTTCTCTTGGGGCATTTACAATGGTGTTGAGTACCACAGGGGCAGCACAGAAATGTGTCACCCCTAGGTTGGCTATGGCAGAGTAAACAGCCCTAGCTGTAACCTGGTTTCATGCAAAAGTGAAAACATGCATGAGACAAGTTTTAAAAAAGGACTAATATATAAAGTCTATACAAGCAAGTGGCAACTTGAGACAAAAATAAAACCCAAGTTTCACTTGGGGGTGTGGAGGAAAAAGCCTAATTTCGAATTTGAGAGCTACTAATGGTAAATCGAATAAAATAACAAGTCCTCTATTGTTTTCAATTATCCGGAATTAGTTGTCCAATTTCCAGTCTAAAATATCCCATAGATAGGGTGTGAGCGTTGTTGACATTATTAAGTGACAAACAGATTTGAAGGACTTCACTGACATTTTAAAGTCAAACAACAACAATCCAGTTGAATACCACAAGAGCAGGATCGGGGAGGGAGTCAAAAAGTTGGGGATATAAATGTCATTTTGGTCATTTAAGCAAAAACTAACTTCTACACTAGTGTTAGTAGTGTACTCAAATGAGATAATATTTGGGAGTAATCTGCCGTAAAAATGTAGCGGATTTGTCAAAACATATCTAAATTTATTGGAAATGCATGACCAACAAGCCTATAATGTAGAAAGGTTAATTTCATTGATCAAATATGTGGGAGTACATGTATATATATACATAAGAGTTCCTAATCCTATACAAGGTAGGAGTCAATAATAGGAAACAATATATTTACATTAAATATAGAATATATTTAACATGCTCCCGGCTACGTCGGATGAGGAGGGGGTCTGATACCCAGACTGGACTTAAACTCGAGGAAGAGTAGAGAAGGTAGACCTTTGGTGAAGATGTCAGCATACTGTGAAGAGGAGGGCACGTGAAGGACTCGAATATGGCCGAGTGCTACTTTGTCTCGCACAAAGTGTATGTCGACTTCAACGTGCTTAGTGCGCTGGTGCTGAACTGGGTTCGATGAGAGATAGACGGCGCTGACGTTGTCGCAGAAGACAAGGGTGGCGCGTCGTAGTGGTTGCTGGAGCTCAAGAAGAAGATTTCGTACCCAAGAAGTCTCAGCAACTGCATTTGCCACAGCCCGGTATTCTGCCTCTGCACTGGAACGGGAAGTGGTGGCCTGGCGTTTTGAAGACCAGGAAATCAGGTTGTCACCCAGAAAAATACAGTACCCGGAAGTGGAGCGTCT